GGGATAGCGTTAGAATTCTTGACCTCACCTCTAATAGGCAAGGCCAAATGCCACCACACCACCACCTCGTACTGAAAATTTGTTGCTTCTATTTTGAATTTTGATGAACAAACAGACATGGAAATGCTAAAAGCAGGATAATCATAAATACTAACAGAAAGTAAGGCTTCGTCTGCCATCCCTGAAATGGTAGGAGAAAACCCCATAATCAGCCCTTATTTTCTTGTTTGTGCACAATAAAAAAAGACCGATTGGAAAGAGGACCAATACTAATTCACTCAAAACCTGGAATATGGATTCCACCAACTAATATGTGATTGGTTTTCCCATCTTTTCTCCGAGAAAATAATGGACACCACTACCCTCAAATTGAGTACTGATCGAAAAACCACTAAGAACCCTACAAATTGCCATACATAATTGACATAAACGATGGACAAAAAGCCCTACAGCTGCAAATATGAGTACAAGGGAGAATTCAAGGGATAAGAAGACAAATAGGACCTTTGGAAGATATAACTACAATTTGAATTTTTTTTTTCCTGCACGAAGCTTCAATATGCTACACCATTATCCTCAGCTTTCAACAAAACGAGCATTTTTTAATACATTCGATTTTTCTGTAAAGACTTGTTAATGTCACAAAGATCCCCACCCAAACGAACAAGATAGTATGATAATGTCATTGTGCTTCACATTTTAGCCTCTATTTCATGTGATTTAACTGGGCTAGTCAATTTTGAAGATTTGCGTTTGCATATTTAAATTAGCCAAGAGTTTTCATTAATTTCACAAAGCTCAACAAATTGAATGTCACTTGAGAAATAAATGGGGTACAAATGTTCATTCCGTCTTATTTTCTGATGAATGTGCTGTTTGCTAAGACAGACGAGACAATTTGTCCTTTTTCTCATAACAATAATGGTTGGTGCTTAAAGTTTGAGTCACTAAAGTATTTGTAAACAAGGGGCACAAGAGCCTGTCCAAGTTTGATACTGGAATTATCAAGTGTTCAAACAAAACATAAATAAATTCTAGTACCAGAGTCATGCACTGGTGTGATTAAAATGCTCAAACAATCTACTAATTTATGGTATAATCCTGTCCTCTACAGTGTAGTACCAACCTTTCCTGGAAAAAACTTAGACCAACTCCAACTCATCAGCGAATCAAGAGCAAACGCAAAAAAATGGAATCTTTGTTCCAACCGAACATCAAAGGCAAACGATGGAATCTTTGTTCCAATTGAACCTCAGATCAAACGCAAACGCAAATTGCGTTTGCAGGAGTTTTTCTGCCGAAAAACACATTTTACTGTTGCAAACACAAAACTCGCAAAAACTAGTGAAGCCACCCACACATTTATTTAAGTACCAAATGCACCAATATTAATGTAACTTATATCTTTTTTTTTTCGAAACGATAGAAGATAATGTAACTTATATCAAATACATGACACATATTTGGTTTTAAAATATATATAATAACTTATATACTAATCTTATATGGCAAAACACATTATTACCATCTTTTTAATATTAAAATAATATTATAAAATCACAAATCAAATAGTATCTCATTAGTTTAGTTGTGTTCTAAAGTATTTAAAATTCTTGAATTAAATTATCTATTAAAAATATTTATATAATAAAATATGAATAAACAAGAACAATCTATGAAAATATTGGTTAAAAATTCAAATACTTCATAATTAATTTAATACATGTTTTTTCAAACAAATTTAACGAATATTTTTCGTCTTTCGTCTTTGGTGTGCAAAACAACCTCGACTGGCTGTAATGACCTAGGTTCCGCTCACGCCGGTTCAAAGACCTGCAAAATAGCGTTGGGACGAGAATAGTCCCAACATAGAGCCTCCGACTACCAAGTCAAAAATGTATGAAGACGATAAAGAGTGGCAATATAGTTTATATGCAATAGTTGTAGAGTGTAAATGGACATATCTCACACGTTCATATAAGGTTGTTACCTTGTTGTCGATGACTGTCTGAATGAGCTGCTCGAGTACCTGTACTTACTACCCCGAATTGCACAATTTTGTTAGGTTGTGTGGTCCAATCCACGTGTTGTTCTTATCTTACTTATATTCTTTCTTACCCAATAGTTAGCCTTATTAGACGGTCTAATCATAAGAACTACTCGGCCTCCCTTAAGCTAGATTGTCTTCTCGTTGTGCTCGTGCACTATGTCCCTCAGGTTGAGTTTCATCTACTAGACCATCTGACGGACCTAACTCAAACTTTTGGCGAGCCTCCTTACCTGTGGAGACACCATTGACCTGGTGCTCGGACGACCTCCTATATCCTCGATCTCCGATCGACCTGGTTAGGTTAGACAACTTCTCGGGTCGCGTTGACCCGCTAATCATCTGGTCTCCCTACTCTGGTCGGGTTATGATAACTCGATCTAAGAGTAACTTCAACTGTCTTTGGTCCGTCTTTGGTCCAACTTCCTGAGCTCGCAGCCTACCTAATCGACATCTCAATTCATTTTTATTTTCATTTTATTTAATGAGTACAATCCTCTTGACCTTACACTAATCTTCTCGAGCTCAAATTTTAATTTCAAATTTCTAATGTTATCAAGTCAATCTGACGTCTCTTTAGTCAGCATGACGTCCTCACGACGTAACTGCCTCGCTATCTGTGCTATCCTCATGCAGTGTACACATTTGATGTTACAATAATTTCGTCCTTCCAATTTTTTTTAATCCAACAATCATAACTAAAATGTCTTTTCAGCTTAACGATTCTACTTGGTTCGTCCCTTCAACTAGAATCTCATGGTCGTCTGTCCATTTCGACCGCAATCCAGCGGTCCGAATCAATCGACATCTTGCCCTTCCTTCTTCCTTCGACTATAAATACAATCTTGAGCCAAATTTTACAGCTTTTCACCTTTGCGAAAATTTCTCTGCAATATAATTCTAAGTTTCAACAAAAGACCTACGTCCTAGCCATCCTATGCAGATTTCGACCACTGCCTACGGGGTTGTTTTTCGATTACAAGCCACATCCATTTCGATGAGCAAGTATCTCTCCTTTTTGTTTCTTTGTTAATTTGCATGCTCGATTTTTTGTTCAAATTTCTTCCATGTCTGCTCCTCAAACCCTTTCCTCGATTCACCCACTCAAATATATACTTATTTTTTTTTCTTTTTTAGACTCGCACAACCGGCGACTCCTTTGATGTCTGTTGGCATTAGGGGTGAGTATAGGTCGGTACGAAGTACCGACTCGGAAATTGAGAAATTTCCAGAACCGTACCAAAATTCGGAGATCACTGAATAATAAACAAATTAGGACAGTTCGATTCGCAGATTTTTATTTTTTTTTTATTTGGTTCGGTTCGGTTCGGTTCAGTATTCGGGACTACCAAAACGGTTCGGCTTGGTATGGTTCAGTTCGGATCTTTGGAGATTTTTTTAATTTTTTTTTAATGACTAGCTAGTTATATTTTAGTTTTATATGCTTTAGAAAAACCAACATTTATCAATACTTTCTCATATTAAAGATTTTATTTTAAATTTAAAAGTAACTCTAAATTTTAGTTAAGGCTAAATGTGTGCAACTAATATTGAAAATTTCAAATTCAAACAAAATATAATAGTGTTTTTTTAAAAAAATATCCAATTGTAGATCAGTATTAATAAGCATAAATTAAACTGAAGCTAAATTGTTATTACTATATTTTATTTGCATTTTAAAATTTCTCAAATTATATAGGATCAAAGTTAACATAAAATATAAGTATTAATAACACACATCTAATGTTATAATTCGATTCTTAATTTCGGTTCTTCATTCGGTGTGGTATGGAATGGTTCTCTTCGGTTCTTGAGTTCGGTACGGCATGGGACGGCTCGGTTTGGTTCTCGGTATGGATATTTGTGAAATCTTCAGAACCGTACCAATTATATTTTGATTCGGTTCGGAGAAAGTCAAACGGCCAACGGTTATTTTACGGTTCAAAGTGATTTCAATTAGGTTTTCGGAATGGTTCAGAATTCTCCGAGCCCCATGCTCAACCCTAGTTAGCAGAGATATGAGTTCTTCCTCCTCTGCGACCTCTTATTCTCCTTTTTCTTCATCTTCCTCTTTGGAGGTCATTCCCGAACCTACTCCCTTGTCGTCTCGACTTCTTATCCACCTTCTCAATCTATCACTTCTTCCCCACCTTTTGGTTTGGTCGATGAGTCCGACGAGGATGCAGAGTCCCCTCCTCGACCTCAAGCGGAACCCCGGGCGACACAACCTTAAACACCGCCGAGGACATGGTTTCAATTGCTCACAAGCTCAGCAAGTTACCTACGTCAAAGAAGATTGGCTCAATGCCTTCCTATCCTGTGTTTACCTGGAGACTAGCGATACGTCTCTTCGCGGCCAATACACATACAACAAGCCACCAATTAGTTGTTACACCTTCCGCGACCAGATGGAGCTTGGTCTTCGATTTCCCCAAGTCAACACTTACTAGATCTATGAGATTTACAACTTCCCTCTTAACCTGCTCTCCCAACTCCATTCGACACTTGGTGGTCTTTTGTATATCCTTTCCTTTTGTAGATTAGGGATTTTTCTTATATTGTATTGTTACCTAGCCAAAGAGTAAAAGGGCACCTTGCACCTAGCAGCTCGTAATGGTACCAATTTCATCGGCGTCCTCTCATTTAACATTGCCGGTTGAAAAACCCGCTATTTCTTTGTTCGACCATGTACCCCTCTCCGCATTTCTCCAATTTGACGTACCTCTATACCTCTTAGACTTTCTCTTCCTAAACTCAATCCTACTTTTGACCTTCTTTACGAGTCGTGGAAAAGTTCTCCTCTCTCTTCTTCTCCTCTCTCTTCTTCTCCAGGTCGATAATGAGCAACTATGGTCTTGCTAAAAGAGTTTATCCTCCTCTCACTAAAACTGAGCTTGGTAGGATTACACCTGAGTTGTTATTTCATTTATGCGATGTTTACTTTTGTTGTAATCTAAAATATTTGTCTATGATCGACCAAGCCTACTTCCTCCACCTCCAGCGAAAAGGAGAAAGCTCCAGCGACCTTTAGAGAAGGTCGAACTAAGGCCCTCTTTCCGAGCTTGGCCCCATCAAACAGGCCTCTAAGTCCAAGGGATCTGCCCCTCCTCCTCCTTCTGAGAAATGCCCAGCCGCTAGAAGTCGGGCTCAACTGTTGGTGTGACTAACCCGGAACAGGCCCGTGTCGATCAGAGTGAGGTCGAGGCGCCCAAGACTTTTGCCACCAACCCTGATGGGGTGTCGATCACTTCTTACATCATAAAGGTTATACCTTCTTACCTCATAAAGGTTATACCTTCTGAGGAAACCCAACGACTCGGGCTAATCACCAAGGTCGAGTTAATTACATCACCAAGAGTGCTGCTGATTTATAACTTACTCCTTAATTTCCATGCGTAGGTTATTTTGTAAATTTCTCCTTAATCTTTTTATTTTTTGCAGAGAGATTCTCTCTGGCTTTGTTCCCAAGGCCTTAGGCAGTTCTGGTCCCTCCCATCAAACCCTCCAAGAAGGTAATCGGGTTATGCGGGAGGAGAACAAACAGTTAATCAAGAACAACTACGACCTCAAGCAGGAGTTGGCGAAGATAGGTCGAAAACACATCAACGACCTCAAGGAGAAAGACAAGGAGATTGCTGAGCAAATCAACCATCGGGGGGAGGTGAAGGCAGCTGAGGTTGCACGTTTAATCCAGGGTCGACAATATTTCCTGACTTCTCGGAGGCGGCTAACTAAATTTAAATTAATAGTGGTTATTTTTTGAAGTTGTAGAATGTGTGGGTAATAGTGAAAATTCGAAAAAGTTGATGAGAAACAGATTTTTTTTTTTTAATTTGAGAATGAGTTTTTTTGGCTGGACATGCTGTTTGGTGTGTTTGATGTGACATTTACTGCAAAATTAGTTTGAAAATGAGTTTTTCGGTTGGAGAGCCTCTCATATCCCTTCGCTTCTCGCAAAGGGGGACCTAATGGAATCAAGAATCATGGAAGGGACACCTTTTTTATGGGGAAAACATAAAATATACAAATCGAAACACTAGACACTTACTGCATCCTCAGGAGAAAGAATTCGCTCGTTAGGCATGTACCCAGCACTTGTTTCTATAGGAACCATAGTGCCAGCTGCAAAGTCGACTCTTTCCTCGTCTTTGTTAGCTTGAAATTTGTACTTGGGAAGGATGCTTAAGTCGGCCTCTGATGCACCTTCCTGCATCAGAAAGTGGAGATCCCTAAGACTAGGGTATTCCAAACAGACAAACATTTACTTCAGTTACTAATTTCTATAATTATTATACCATACCTGACCAGCAATAGCATAAAGAATTGCAATGATGCAAGGCAAGCAGCAGCAAAGGGCTATCCCAATAAGACATGCTAAGACAACACAAAATATGGCAAATACTACATCAAACGCCAAGAATACCACAGCCAACCTGCAGAAACTTCCAATATTAGAGCTCTGCCGGATTTTTTTTCAGCTAATAATATCTTTCAAAATGGAGAGAAATGTCTTGAATCAGTTGAATATGCATTGATGATATTAAACAAAAGAGAACCAACATACATTCCAATAAAAGATCACTCTCATCCCCCATATCATGCAAATTTAATCCACAATAATTCTTTACTTTGTCATGGACTGGCAGACTAACAATGTTGACAATTCTGAATCTCATGCATGATGCCTAATAAATATTCTCTTTCAACCACTAAGTCTTCCTAACCAATGTAAATGCAAGACCACGGATGGATAATAAAAAAGTTTCAGTACGGAATTAGGTTTGAGTTGTAACCCATCTTTTCCTCTTTTCTGCTTGTGATTCAGATAAGTAGATGAAAGGCACTCGTTATCCTTTCACTTAATAGTTGGCATGTAACGAAGTTTTATTCGGTTTAAGAATGGTGGTCACAAATAACTTATGGAGATTTCGTCAAATAAAGGAAGATTAATTTTTTATTTCTCATTCTACGTAATGTATGTTCACAGCGGCTGTTTGAGCCAGCTTTCTTGTGATACATGTACTGGTTCTACTGCCACAGAGAATCAAGTATCATACATGATCGATTACTCATACCAAAAGATACAGGCAAACCTAATAATGATGCCTTAAATACAGGGACTGGCTTATGTATGATGATGATTTTCTATAGTGTATGTATATTATAATTGGAAAACCATTTCTTAGATGAAAATCTATCAAGTTACTTTACATATAACGGTTATCAAATTCAAGGACTAGTTAGTTGGAAATGGGTGATACTAAAGTAGGAAATGATGGGTGATAGCACTTAGTAGGAAATAGTCGGTGATACGCATATCAAATTCACAACAATACTTTCAACTCCGGTGATGATAATGTCAAATTAATGGAACCCAATTTCATGATATACAAGCCGCTCATGACAAAGGTATGTTACTGCTTCTAACAAAAGGGGGTATATAGTGGCTTTTATTAAGTGTTGCATGTGATAGCCCCAACTGATTCACCGGCTGTTCATTTTTAAGTGTTTAACTATGCATGTAGCATAGCCTGACATGGATCTGGGATCATATTAATGCTGGAATATATTCTTCTTAATTTGAGGAACACATGTTCCATGTGCTAAATTGCATGAAATACACCACCACTTGCTTTCCTTAGAATTATAATTTGTTATAACAGTCTCTTTTATCAAGAATACACTGTCATCATTGATCATGGCAAAACGCTGGACATGTTTCCAGACCACGTATCAAATCCCTAGTCCCCAAAGATAGATTTTACATGCTGTAATAAGGGTCTAGCTTAACATACATAGCAATATACTTCTATCATGTACTTTAATATGACAATAAAAAAAATAAAAAAATATTGCCGCACAAAAAATAGGCTGCATTTTCAAAAAGAATGTTCGAAAGTCGTAAGAAAACGAAAAAGTCTATGACATTCCACAAATATATCATACCAATAAACATTCTTCAAGGTAACAAAAGATAAAATTGGCTGACAGTACTATAGCAGAAAGAACAGTACAAACTGAAGCATTAAACCAGTAGGGCTTTGGACTTACCAATACAAACGTGGAGCACCTGTTAAAAGAGCTTCACCGCCAGAAACCACCCAGTAGAAGCCAACTATCCACCATAGAAATGAGATCATCGTGTTCACAGACTCACATCGTTTTACCCTACTGAGATTCCATGAAAATTAGCCAGATAAGTGAATTAAAGATTTTCAAACATCTGGTGGACTTTGATATATAACTAAAAGTTTCGACATCTGGAAACTGATAGCTAAGAAGCAAAATTCTCCAAACAAGACTCCCTCATATCTTGCTTCCTTGTGAAAATAAGAACAGAGAAAAGGGTGTCGAAATAGTCTTTATACAATCCGGAAAATGTACTGGCTAATCAAAGTGTATTCCACCTTTCCACAATTCACAAAGAGAAGGCATATATCATGATATGAATATGGTTTAATTAGACCAAGCACGAGAATTCATCAGAGCATATATGGACAGACATTGATAGATGTAATATCAACAAAGACCTAGATACTAATAGAACAAAAAGAAGAAAAAAAAAAAAAAACATCACCTTCAACTTTAAAATCTTAAAGCTACCTCAACAGGTGTGTTGTCCAAGATTTTCAAGTCATGAATTGTGAACAGTAAACCTTTCAATTCAGATTACACAAGTGAGCATTTTCATCAACCTTATAAGCCCAAAAATGTGTCTCTGGATCGAACCGCAAAAGAACTCAATTAGTATAGATGATTGGCCGGCACCCCCATTAAACAGACACCCACTGATTCAAAACTTCATATGCTTACAGTAGTAATATAAAGTATGAAATGATCAAAAAACTCATGAACATTTCCAAATTGCAATTAAAAAAATTCAAAACAACCAAAGCACCCATCCTCAGGCATAAAAATTATCATCGGCACTTTATCCTAAGAGAAGATAAAAAATCGGCTCACCTAGAGGCGTTAGAGATACCAATGAGCCCGCTTCTGACATCATTCACTTCATCCTCACTCTGAATATCTTCCTCTCTACTCCCGCCGCCAAGTATGTTCCCTTCTTGCCCGGAATTCCGCCTATTGTACTCCACCCAAACTAGGACTACGTGTACCAGACACTGGAGGGCATACCCGCATACCCAAACCCTAATTGGCACATGGGGCTTCTCCTTGGCTGTGAAAATCAGCATAATCACGGACACAACCACGAAAGCCATATTCCACATGATGTCGAGGGCGACAACAGGCTTCGAGTAGCCCCAATCGGCGCGGCGCTCCTCCAGCTCGCGGGCGGCGGTCTCCCGGACCACCATGGAGGCGCCGCCGCGCCGCTGGGTGGTGGAGGCGGCATGGGAGAGCAGAAGTGACAGTGCCGAAGGGCGGTCAGAGGCGGCGTTGGCCGGCCGCCGGGGGCGGAGGAGTGGGACGGTGGGGATGGTGAGGGAAGTGGAGGAGGTGTCGTCGGAGGACATCTTTGGGATGAAAATATGTACAGAAATATAATTATAAAAATCTATTGAGGTTTCTGCTCCGGCAGGTTACGAGCTTCAGGAGAGTGTGAGAGTGATGACTGACGCCATTGATGTATTGACGAAGCAGCTCTATCTCTGTCGCTGGATGTAAGATTGACATCCAAAGTGGGCCGCGTCATACGGTAATACACATACACCTGATGGTACACTGCAGTTGTGCCATTTTCGTACCGCAATTTTTTTGTGAAACACTAAGGGCGTGATTGTTTATGAATTCTACAATAAATAGCTCACTCAAAACTCAAATTTAACTCAATTTTACTATATTTAATATTATCAATATAATTAAATAATATCAACCAATCATATTACACATCACATCAACTTTAATAAACTATTCATCCACTCACATAATTTTAACTAATCATTATTTCTAATCATTTTCTCCTACTTTTACATCAAATCAATTTTAATTATTTTAATTTAAATATTATTTTAATATATCAACTAACAACTAACCATACAACTTTTTTTCAAACTTAACTATAGTTTAAAAAAACTAGGTTTTTACTAGTTGAATTCATATTCAATCACCCCCTAAACACCTCACTTTTTTCGATATTTATCGCCCCCAAAAGACTAATTTGCCCTTTATTCATTTTTTTAAAAAAGAAGAGATGTCCCTCTTTAGAACTACTTACCGGCCAAATCGAGCTTCGAAAAATTCCGAAAATACCTCTGAATAATTCCGACGAAAAAATGCTTTCCAACAAGACTGGTCATGCGGCGGCCGACCGGTCAAACCGGCGAAAAATAATTTTTTTTTTTTTTGGGCCGACCGGCCTCGAATGCCGGTCGTAGCTGTGCCGACCTTCTTTTTGCCGGTTGGCCGGCCCATGCATGGCCGGTTTTGCCGGTTGGCCGCACCATGGCCGGTTTTGCCGGCCGGCCAGCCAATTTTTTTTTTTTTTAATCAAATTTTTAATTATATATATTATAATAGAATTTAAAATTTATTATCTCATAGTTAGAATTTAGAAATTTTTAAAGTATAAATTATAACTAATTATTTTATAGAATTTTATTATTATTACGTTAGAACTCATAAATTATTATGTTATATAACATAATACTAATTATCTCTAATAAAATACTAATGAGTGATGCTATTAAAAATTGTATTTCCCTTTTTTTTTCTTAAATCCGCTCCTTTTCAACTCGGTAATAAATTTTAAAATACAAAATAATTTTTTGACTTAAATTTGAAATTCATAAATACCAATTTAAATAACAAATTGAACGAAAAAATTCGGATTCTGTTAGAGCAATTCATTGAGACCGATTAATTAAGTATGATTTGACCGAATTTTATGACAAGAGATTGTTTGACACTTTTCTCAGAGTTATATGATTCGTTTGAATATTATAGTAGGAAAAGCGTTCTAACAAAATAGTAATAAATTCTAATTTATAATAGTAATAATCTATGCCATAATAATTTCTAACTTCTAACATAGTAGTACTAAATATTATTTCATAAGGCTATCAATTCTAACTTCTAACATAATAGTAATAAATTATAATTTATAACATAATCAGTTTTAATCTATAATACAGTAATTTCTAACCTCTAACAAAATAGCAATAAATTCTAATTCATAAGACAATCAATTCTAATCTATAATATAATAATTTCTAACCTCTAACATATTATTTTTTTTTTTTCCGAAACGACAGAGGTACTATTATAAACCAAAAGCGCACAAAGTGCGAATAAAGATACAAAGCTCCCAACGGGAGAATAAAATGGGAGGACAGGTCAGAAGACCGCCTAGAGTCCCGCTAGCAACGCTAGAAAAAAAATACTCAAAACTAAACTAACCAACAACACAGACAACTAAAACAAACTAAAACAACAAAAACAACTACCTGAGTATCGGACCCCAACAGAGTAATACCCGAGTGTCGGACCTCAAAAGGGTAATAAGGCGACACTCGGGCGTACAAAATGACACTCGGGCTCACAGGGGTCTAACGACCCAAACCAAAAAAAACAACAACTGCAACACTAAAAATTGAAAAAAAAAAACCAAACCTAAAGACAAAATAACATAAAAACACAGCCTCCCCCGTCCAATACATATAAATAAAAGGCAGACAACCAAACTCCACAGACAGCTCCAAAGCACGGGAGAAACCCGCCCGCCACTACATAAGGCCTAGCAAGACGGAACCCGCACCCCAGGACCAACCGAAGAGCTGGCCCGCACTCCAATCACGAAGGCCAGCAAATACACCCCAACCCAGCCCGAGACACCAAAACCCGATCAGATGACCAAGCACTAACCGGGAACCGCGAACCACCCCCAGCAGAAGCCAAAGCCACCCACCGAGAACCCCCAACACCAACTCGCCGAGAGCCCTCCGGTCACGGACACGAAAGAGAAACCGAGACAGAGCAGCAGGACGAGGCCAAACCTGCAATTGACCCGGCTTAGAGCCAAAACATGAGGAAGCCAAGGACGCTCGCTGCTTCGCCGGCAAAACGACACCGTCCCGACCGACAACGAGAAAGGCGAAAGAAGGGGAAAGCATCCCAGCGGCCAGTTCGAACCGGGTATAGCTAACTTTTCCTCGTCCATAGACCAGCACCACGTCCCGACCACCGCCGTCCAGACTCGAGCTCCGATAACCAACAAGGAAAGAGAACTTCCCCGCTGACCAGGCACGAATCCGGAAGAGAACGACAAAGATGGGAGAATGCTGCACCTCCATGGACGAGCGACGGAGGCCGTCCACCTCAAGACCCAGATGACCAACGAGGGAGCAAGACCGGCGCAAATTGAGGAGGAGGGCTGCTAGGGTTATGGTGGAATGGTGGAATTGGGGAAACGGCGGAACTAGGAAATGCCTATCTAACATATTATTAATAAATTCTAATTTATAAGATAATCAATTCTAATATATAACATAATAATTTGTATTAATATAATTTTTTTCAAACTAGTATCTAATTTATAATAATATAACTTATACTAATTATATTAATATAAACACAGCTGAATATCATAATATATCAATAACATAATGAATGTCATTAATCACAAACATAATATACCATAACAATTTCCAACTTCTAACATAATAGTAATAAATTCTAATTTATAACATAATCAATTCTAATCTATAATACAATAATTTCTAACCTCTAACAAAATAGCAATAAATTCTAACTCATAAGACAATAAATTCTAATCTATAATACAATAATTTCTAACCTCTAACATATTAGTAATAAATTCTAATTTATAAGATAATCAATTCTAATATATAACATAATAATTTATACTAATTTATTTTTTTTCAAACAAGTATCATTTCTAATTTATAATAATATAACTTATACTAATTATACTAATATCATTTTTTTAACTGTATATGTTGTTAGTTCATTTTATCCTCAACAAGTGCATAACAAACATAACCCGAAATTAACATATAAACACGGCTGAATATCATAATATATCAATAACATAATGAATGTCATCAATAACAAACATAATATACCATAAACCCTAAACCCCTATGTTGTAAATATTTTTCTGGAGTAGAATCGAAAGATTCGAACACCGGGTCGTGTCTCACGAGGAAGGTTAGTCGGAATATTCTGTACGTTTACTCAACCGCACAAAAAAAAAATAAAACTCCTAAACATACTAATTCAGATATTTGATTGGTTTTAATTATCAACTACTGCGAAAATTCAAATAAAGCAATAAAAATATCAAAGCAATAACAAAGAACAAATAGGATTTAAGGAGCTAGGGAGTCGGGGATATCCGTTTTGGTTTGACATTGCAATTATCAAGCAAGAAATTGTTCGGTTAAGTGATTTGAATAACCGGCACATTCAAGCACTCATTTTCAATAATTTTTCGTAACAAGAGAACAAACTTAAACGACAAGTTAACAAGTCATTTAACACCTAGACAATACAATTACGAACAAGCCTAGTTTATACCAGCCTATTTCGATCGACTCCTCCCCTTTCGGTTCTAAGAGTCGATTAAAGGAGACTAGAGGTTTGTTAATCCACTAAGCCGTTTAGAATTATCAACAACATGCACGAATTTATCGAATTCAATAAATAATTGGAAATTCAAGTGTCACCCTTCAATAATTCTCAAAACTCACAAACGATGATTGAAAGCCCTAGAAAAAACTTAACTCGTACAAATTGAACAATCATGAACATGATAATCGCAAGCGAATTCAAAACATCAATCCCCTATTCCCTAGCATATGAATTTAGCCACTCATGATCGATTCAACATCAAAATCATCAATAATCCATGCCATCATAATCATAAATTAAATGAAAAGAAAGCTTACGATTAATATCCAATGTTGAAAACGAGAGCAAATCGAATCCAAAAGCGAGAAAAGGAGTTTTCTACTCTCCAAATCCAATCACAAGTGAAAACCTAAGAGAGAAATATGTTTTCTCTCTAGAAAAGTCGAAAAAACGAAGTCACGAGACCCAAAATATGCCCTAGGCTCGATCTATTAAGCTTCCAATTCGAAAATCCGCAGAAATCGCGCCTGTTACAAAACAGACCTTAGCGCCGCTAAGGGGTTAGCGGCGTTAAGCCTTCTTAGCTGTTAGCCTCTGTCCCGCTAAGCTTCCAAAATGCCGCTATCCACACAGGCCTTAGCGGCGCTAAGGCCCCCGGCAGCTTTGCATGACTTCACGGTTTGGGCTCGTTCGGGCTCGTCTGGTATCGAAATTCAATTCTGCTTTTTCCTACGCGTCGCTAACGAGCCCCTCTTTTTAATGGTGTCAGCTTCCCCAAAAGATTCTCGAAAACCTATTCTCCGGAGGTCTCTAAACTACACACCAAAAATGAAAAGAGAACAGAAAAAGACCGAAAAACAAAAGGAAAACACCGCAACACTCAAATGAACGCAAAACACATAAAAATGACAAAAAGATCCTAAAA